TGTTTGTTATTTTTTTACTTATTATTTCCCACCCCCTTTTTTCATATGTCTATAATTTTTCTTTGTTTTTTTCTTCATTTTGAACTTTTATATATATATATATATATATATATATTATCATTTGTTTTATAGGGTCCAGTGTGGGGAATTCAAAACTCACAGTCTTCAAATGAGCTATCTCTTGCAGACATACAAAGACTTCAAGAAGAAAAGGAAAGAGAAGAAAGACAAGAGGTTGCTCTCAGTTTATCATATGATCAGGATTATTATTAATGAAAGGGATCTCCTAGCTAAAATAAATATTTTTCAATGTATTTGTGTGTAAAAAAAATTCTTATGGCTCAAATGAATGGTTAATTTATGTTTTAACCATTTAAATTTTTAGTTTTTCACACACTATCCACATATTTAGCATGTCTATAGATTGCACAATGTGGATGTCCACAATAGAAACAAAAACTTAATTTAACTGATTTGATTTTAAAGTTAGTAAAATGGGAATGGGACATTTTATTATTATTATTAAATACCATAATTAATCTTTGATTTTTCATTTTGTTTAGATAGGAGAAAAAAACTAAACATTTGAAAGTTAAATAAGCCTTTTATTCTTTTTTTTTTATATAATCAAGCATTTAAACAAAGTGCAAATAGAAAAATTTGCTAAAAATTTATTTAAAACTAATAAGTTGTATGCTATTAAAATTTCCCAGTTGAGTAAAATTGTATTCCTAAAATAATTAAATTTCTCTTTTACTATTCAGTAAGGGAGGAAAAAGATGTCGCTAGCAAAGATAATTTTTTTATGTAATACTGTTAAGTCCATTTTTGAAAATACCAGTTTAAACTTTTGCAATTTGAAGTAATTAATACTAAAAGCATGTGTGTTAAATACTTAACTGTATAAAAATCTCCCACACTTAGAATTTGAAATGTTTTCCTCGGGCATAAAAATTTTCATTGAACTTTTTGATTTGTTTTTTAAAACCATTAGTACAAACTGATACTAGTATTGGAAATAGATACCTAATAATATAAATTGATAACTGTAAAAATCAAATTGCATATTACTTGTCTTCCAAAGTTCCAACCTTTGTTCATTTTCTTTTAAAATTTAGGTAAAACACGCATAAAATCAAAAGTTTTGTCCATAGTAACATAAGTTAGTTAATAATTTTTTCAAGTTGTCTCTCTATAAGTCATACAGACTTTGATTATGCTTAAGCAAATAAAATGTCACATTAATATATATTTAAACTTATTACGTTAAACACTTATAAACAAGTAAATAACCTTAAAATGGTGTGTATTTTCATGATTAAATTTTATTCCAGAAACTCCGACAACAATCATTACAACAACAGACTGTAAAGACAGTTCAACAGAATAAAAGTAGCCTTAGTTGGGCTAAAAGGTAAATGGGTATATTTATTGCTGTAATGTCATGCAATCAGCATATTCTTTTGAATAATGTGTGTAATTACATTTTTTTCTCCTTTTAGAGCTACTGATACTCAGCCAGCTGTTAAGTCTCTCTTTGAAATTCAACAGGAAGAAGCTGAAAGGTTAGCTCAAATTCAACGCACATCAAAGCCACAGCCGGTAAGATCAAATTTTTCAACACTAGTTCTCTGACTCATTCATACATTTAAACTTAGAAACTCATTAAGTTTTAGTTACACATTTCTCTTATTTTATGCATGTATATTATATTCTCTTATTTTATTTAGATGGCTATATATGTTGTATTTTTGAAGCTACACTATTTCTCCTGTACTACTTATGCAATAATTGTCAATTTTTTGTTATATTTTTGCTTAAAATTTATTTTATCAAAACTCCAAACTACTGGAATCCTGGATTAGTTTTTCCAATAAAATTCTATTTTAAATATCATAAATCTGCAAATTTATGTGGTGTTAATAAAGATGCAACTCCTACATAAAATTCATTGTATTCTTTAATTTTAGTTAATAAAAAGTTATAAATATAAGTATTAATAATGTAATTTCTTTTTATTTATATTTTCTCTTATATGATATTAGTGATAAAATCTTATATATAATTTAAACAATATCTTATATACATAGTTGCCAACTCTTCTGGATTTTACCAGTTTCTACTGATCTACTGGTTTAATTGAAATTCTCCTAGTTTTTGTACATTTTAAAAAATTTCTTAAAATTGACTAAGTTTCTTTTAAAAAAAATGGCTACTGAAATAGAATTTATGCACAGATGATTGCTTGCTTGAATATTTAAATAAGTATTATTGATACATAATAAAGCGAGCCTTTATTTATAGTAATCAGTTGAAAGCTTTTTTTATTCTAAAATCTTCAGTTTATTTTTATTCAGAACTCTCTTTTTAAATTAATTTTAAAAAAATGGTAAATATCTTTGATGAATTAAATGCCTATTACTTCAGAATTGAGTAAACATAATGCATAACATTTCATGTTCATTTATTATCAATCATGACTGGAAAATAAAGATATTTTTTTGTAGAACAGCTGTAGCTAAAAACCTGTCTAGCACAGATATGAAGCACCAATAGGAATGATAATCCTGTAGATTTTTCAGTTAAAATACCTTAATATATCATAACTTTTATCGCCTTTACCTTAAAAGTTTTGAACTTCCACAGACTAGTATGGTTTATATTAGACTTGAAGTAGTAGACACCTCTCAGCATTCTTCAACTCGCACAATTTGGAAACCCTAGCTTTAATCTGGCTGTTTCTCTTACATTTTTACATGCTTTATTAAACTTTTGTTGAAAATAATCTTCATTCAAGTGATATTTTTTTCTTGATTTTTTTATAGCCACCCCAGACTTTAAGCTCCAACGCAGGAGTTTGGGGTAATACTAGTCACTTAAACAAAATCACGGCTGCGCCTCAAACATGGAACACGAGTAATGTGTCTTCAACGACTGGTTTCTGGGATGATGTAATTAGCAACAATTCGCACTCTAGAAAGCAGCCTCAAAAGACCAGGTGAATATTATGCTTGTAACAAAGTGATGTAAATTCCATTTAGTCAGGAGTCAATGCCCACTGAATTGGGAATATCACAAAAAGCTTTATTTAAAATCTATTTAGGTTTTCACTGTGGTTACATATTTACCAAAAATAATTTTTGTCAAATATTGAAATAGTTATGTTTAAATAGTACTTAAGTTCTTTTTTTTTTTTCTTTTTGTGGGGGGAGAGGTCAAAAACATAAATTTTTAAGGCATAAATATTATACGAATTTCGATTTTCAATCTCAAAAATATTAGCAATAGTAATTTTTTTAAAAAAATAATGCAAAATAAAACACGTCTCTTAGAATATTCATGAAAAACCTTAATTTTCATAAACAAATACGTGTGTTTTTGATTTTCAACCAGATTCTTAGGTTATGTTATTATATAAATGCAAACTTAGATAAATGTTTTCATTTAGATACTTTTTAAATGTTCTAAACTTTAAACCTTAAATTCATTTTATGTTTATGCTTTAAAAAAATTAAATTTATAATTTTTTCCCCACAAAAAGAATAAGATTTTAGGCTTATTTCTGGAAATCAAAATATATTTCAATCTTACTAAAAGCAGGGTTGCCACAGGCGACTAAAAAGCGACTATTTGCAACTATTTTCGACCTGTGGCAACTATTTTTGGCTTAAAAAGAAGCAACTATTTTCAGGAAAAGAAGACTATTGGGAGACTTTTCTGCTCTTCTAGTGATTTTTTTTTTTTTTTTAAACAATAAATTGGGTTGACAACCTGTGGCCTGCGGTAGCTTCTGAACATAATGAATTTTTTTTATACAATAAATTGGGTTGACAGCCTGTGGCCCGCAGTAGCTTCTGAACATAATGAAATATTTTTTCTTTAAAAAAAAAAAAAAAATTGAATTTTAAATTTGAGTAATCACTTTTTAATGAGCTCAATTTTCACAGATTCCATTGTGAATCTATTTTGTTTCTCAGTCGCCTTTTCTACGATTGCTACGAAATTCTGCGTGATTTTAAAGAACCCTATTTTTAATACAATATTATGATGCGTGAATTTGGAATTTTATTAATAATTTTTCAGTACATATATGTTTGCTAAATCAATTATTGGTAAAAGGGAAAAATTTTTAGAAAGAGTATGTTTTTAACAAAAAAAAAATTTCTGAATTAATTCTAGTATTTAAAAGTATTTAATTTTCTGCTAATATACTAATTTTTTTTATATAAAAATTTAGTGCTAGAACACTAACGTTTATTTAAAAAGTATCATATTGACCATCAACTTGACTAAATGGATCATGGTATATTACAATGAAGTCATTTAACAAAATTTTAGTAATATTATTGAAAAAGTTTTGTTCGTATTTTGGCAACTATTTTGTTAATTTTTTTCTGTGGCAACCCTGTAAAAAAAGTGATTCTCTACTACTTAATATTCATTCAAAACGTTACAATTTTTTTTTCCTCATTTTTTTTTTTTTTTTTTTTTACCAGTTTTGCCCATATTATTTAATTAGAAACTAGTTGCCAGCATGGAAAATACTGTGCAGTTTTGCCTAAAAAGGAATTATCAGCTCGTCAAATTTACTATCGTTAATTTAATTATTTGTATGTTTCATATTAAAATTAAAAAAATATGATTTTCTATGTTAATTGCTTCAACTTAATTCTTTATTCTTGTATATTTAATTGTCTTATTTATAATAGAAATTTAAAGCTATACAGTCAATTCGCTATAACTCGAAGTACGATAACTCGAATATTACTATAACTCCATTTTTTTATGACCTTCTCCTATATGTGGCT